ATAAAACAAAATGACAAAATGGAATATGCTCATTACAGAAATTTAAGTTTTCAAGATTATGGATGAGTGATTCAAATTTGAAGAGGCAACGAACTTACAAATATCTATGCTCGAAAATAAGCATGTATGCATGCCAGCAATATGATTAAGGAATGCATACGAGGGCTTTCAAAAGATAGGTTAATGACCACAGCTGTTTATGGATATGTGAAAATGGTTGTTATAAGAGGTAGATTAAGCTATCTTAAAAAGATAACAAGTTCATGATATCCTAAGGACAATAAAAAGGAAAAATCTTCTAAAATATTACATAGCGCTCAAATCATACAAAAAACCACATAACTAGCCAGAAAAATGAGAAGCGAGAGAAAGAAAATGGATGTTAGATTTAAACCAAGCAAAAAAGTGGATTATATTTCAATATGTCGTGTTAATGAAACTAAAAGGAGATAAAATAATAAAGACATGTTGGGAAAAGGCTAAATGCTTTGAGAAGTATATAATGTTAAGTAAATGGACATCTAACCCATACAAGTATATGCTTTGTTTCCTAATTAGTATTGGGAGTTTTATAAGAGTTAACTGAGATCTTAACCTCACATACTCCTCTCCCTTATATCGAATTCTCATATACTCTCATTATATCCATCATTTCTTTTTGATTTTCTTTTTAATACAAAAGGGCATAAAAAGACAAAAAACCCTTAATTAATAACCATAATTACATATTTAATCCAGAGTAAATCGAATTATCCAGACTCAAACCCGGATCCAATTTAAATTACCAATTTAACTGAAATTGTTAAACTAAACCGGTCTAAGTGTTTTAAACCATCCAATTTAATTAAACCATCGACCAAACCCTAAAACTCTATTTCCCGATCCCAAATCTTCTTCCTCTTCATTTCCATCATCTTCTTCCATCCTCCATCATCTTCTTCCTCTTCGATTCCATCATCTTTTTCCTCTTCCATCATCTTCTTCCTCTTCAATTAAATCTCCACATATTCTCTTCGTTCACCGCCGCTCACTCTCCACTCTTCACTCTTCTGTTTTAGGCTCACCACCACCACCGTTTTAGCCTCGCCACCGCCGCCGTTTCACACTTCCGTCGTCGCCGAACATGTATCTTCTAGGCTTAAGAGTAATTAGAACCCTAATTTATGATTTCCTTCCCTCAACCCTGAATACCAACTGATTTCTGATTTTTGTTTCAGAATTTTTGGAGGATGTCGACTAGGGGTTCACCTTCTTAACCAGAGAGATCTGAGGCTGAGTATGCTACGACATCAGAAGAAGGATTGGGTTCAAACTCAAATGTTGATCATACAACCAGGATGTAGTTTAGTACAACTGGAATTATCGCGTACAACTGATTTTTGCTTGTGGTTGAACCAAGAATACTAGTTGTACCAATACACTATTATTCACTTATCATATGCGTTTTGATTGCAGCAAGAGGAGGTCTCAATATCAATGGAACCTTGAGATTTATTCTTCAAGCAAAGTGAGTATCTGTTATACCTGAAGCTTCAATCAAGGTGTGAAACCTTTAATTTCATGGGAGTCTTCAAGAGGCTTGATATCTCAGAGAGGAACTGGTCTGAAAATCACCCACAATTCAAGCATATTGTCCCCATGTTTATCTAGAAGAATAGAATGTTAATGGGAATGTGGATATCGCTTCTCCGAACAGCAGTGACAGACAAGCAGCGGCAGTGTTGGTTTGTTGTGAATGGTGTACCTATTCGGTATTGAATCAGAGAACACGGCCTTATTTCAGGATTATTCTGCCACCATTATCCAGCCGACTATGATCAGTTAAGGAGTATGTATTCTGTGGAGGAGCAGTTTGGAAAGACTAATATAGAGGTGAAAGAGGTGCGTGAGAAGCTGGAATCAATGGATTTCATTGAAGGTGGTACTGATAGGTTGAAGATGGTTGTACTTTTCTTCTTAGCAACTGTCATCAAAGGAAAGTTCAAGATATTTCACAGACCCATTCATTCTCCGAGTGGTGGATGATCTGAATCTGTGTGAAATGTTTCCCTGGGGTCGTTTCACTTTTGATGACGTCTTAGCTGAGGTTGCACATCTGATGGATCATTTTCGAGGATCTGTTCGAGGGAACTGGACTTTTCCGAGGTTCATATTGCCTTTAGAGGTAATGTTATATGTTTTAAATTCAGTATAACTTGTACAACTAGAAATCGTAGTATTAATACAACTAGGATTCTTGGTTCAACTAGATATAGTGTATAACTAGTAGTATTGGTACAACTAGTATTCTTGGTTCAACTAGAGATAGTGTATAACTGGTATTATTGGTACAACTCGTGTTTAGGGTACAACTAGTGTAACTGGTATTATTGGTAGAACTGACATAACTAGTACGATTATATGTGCAGATTTTGGCGTTTGAATCTATCCCGGTTCTGAAAAAAGCGTTACAAGAAAAAGTTCGGAATGCAGATGGTGATTGTCCAAGAATGTGCAAGTGAAAGTTAAGAGAACAGGCAAAACATAATTTTCTTTAACTGATATTTTTGAAGTACTTGGAGATACAAATGTTTATGATTCTCCTTTAATTTTATATTTTTACATACAATATTAGAGATTTAGTTTAATTTAATTTTTGTTTTTTGTTAAAAAAGACATAATTAGTATCTTGGTACCTGAAGATGGAGAAGACATGCTCTTGCTTAACATCCTAGACGAGCATGTATGGGATGACTTCGAAGTAGGAGAGGATGATGCTATTCCTGACCCTGTTGTTGATAGTTGGCACATGATTTTAGTCCGACTACAGAAGAAGATACACTTGAAGGATCTGTACCAATTAGATGTTAAATCCCGAGAAGACCAGCCATCACCCAAATCGACAGATACTGAAGCTGTAAGAAGTGAGGATGTGTTGAAGAAGATGGAAGAATGGTTTATAAAGATTAACGAGAAGATGGAAGAAGGGTTTAGGAAGATTAATGAGAAGGTTCATGAGATGGACACAAGACTGAAGTCTGTGGAAATGAAAAATAGCTGATCAAAGGAGAGATTCTGATTATATGGATTTTCAGTATGAAGATGTGGGGAGAGCGTATGAAACTGGTGGAGGGTCAAATGCAAGAGGTAAAAAAAAAGTTATTTATTTGTTTTATTAAGTGTATGTTCAAAATTTTTTTTTACATTTTTTTATGCAATGTAGGTGATGCGGGTATGGAGACCACAGACGCACACGCACATGCAGAGGAGACAACGAACACACCTGTAGAGGAGACCACATATGCACCTGCAATGAACACAGACGCACCTGCACCTGTAGAGGAGACCACAGACGCACCTGTACCTGCAGAGGAGATCACAGACGCACCTGCACCTGCAGAGGAGACCACAGACGCACCTGCAGAGGAGACCACAGACGGACCTGTACCTGCAGTGGAGACCACAAACATACCTACACCTGTACTGGAGACTCCTAAACCACCACGAAAGAAACCAGGCTACAAAGTAATCCAGCAGAAGAGTGCTGAGGCTAAAAGGATGGCTGAGATCATTAGGAGTAGGAGAAAGGGTAAACCATCAAGGCATATATCCACTCCTTTCGAAAATGATGCACCAGTAGAATGGAAGAAACGAGAGGCTGCAGAAAAGAAGTAGAAGAAACAAGTTTGTTTTGGTTTTTGTTGAAACTAGTTGATGGTTTTTGGTGAAATTAGTAGATGGTTCAAGTTGAAACTAGTAGAAGGTTTTTGTTGAAACTAGTAGAAGGTTTATTGTTTTATGTTTAGTGAAACAGGATTCAGAAGGTTGAAAATTAGTAGAAAGTTTATTATTTGATTTATGTTTTTGGACTTTTTTTTGTTAGTACAACTGGTATTATCACGTACAACTGATGTTGTTACAACTAGAATAATAAGTAAAAAGAAAAAGAAACATATATTGTAAAAAAAATTAAAAAAATAAAAGTCACATGTGCGCTGTCAAACTGCAAGCGCCGTTCATAAATAATTATAAAAATAATAATTACTTTTGTAGCGCCGTCAAATAATACACAAAGTTGTACCCAAATAGGTAAGTTGTACTCTATTTTGTTCTATTATACAGAGTTGTACTTTCATAGTTAAAACGATTTTATTAGTTATACCATACTATAAATTATTTTTTTATAGTTATACTTTTGAAAATAGGTAATGATAAGACATTTAAAAAAGATATATATGATAAAATGTATACAATTTTGTTTATTTATTAATTTCTTATAACTATCTAGCATTAGTTGTAATAGTTGCCATAAAAGTATAAGGTAGATGTTATGAAAATATGATTTTTATGTTCTCAATATTCAAAAATGCATCAAGTTGGGTTTATTTCATCAAAATAGATATGAAATAGAGTTCTTAAACACATACTGCATTCCGAAATGCAGTATTTTAAATAATACAAAAAAAATGAAAAAAAACATCAAGTACACACTAGTTGTCCACGGTAGTTATACTAGTTGCACCAAAACATCACAATCGGTTCATATTCCTCTTCCTCTTGTTCTGCTACGTTAGGATCATTATACAACCATGCTCCTATTCCTCTTCCTCTTACTCCTCTTCTTCCTCTTCCTCCTCTTCTTCCTCTTCCTCTCCCTTGATGTTCTCCAACTGATGGATACCTAGTTATGTTGATGCGTCCTTTTTTCTTTACTATTTTTGGAGGAAATACACATTTGCTTGGATATGGTCAGAAACAATCCAGTCATATTTATGGGAGACTGGATAGATCGTTCTGCAGTAAGCCAACAACCAATGCTCCATCCAATAATAGTGGGAGCAAAATTCACGTAGATGGAGCTCCCTCTCCCTGCTCATAAAGATAGCAGCTGCTATTGCATGCACACACGGGTACTTGTCGATATCAAACATCTTGCAACGGTAACTTTTATTTCTCATATCAACCAGATAGACCTTGCTATCACGCCCAATCACATTGTACTCAAGGTGGAAGCTGTTTAACTAATGCACCGTCAATAGATTTGCTTCCACACATCTCACATGCATTTCATTCTCCATATATGGAACACGCTTATGTGCCGTAGAAACTTCATTAGACGCCTTCCTATACTTGTTAAACCATTCAGCCAATTTTGCAACAATCACATCAATCATTGGTAACAGCGAGTACTTCTTTGCTTCTACAAAAACGCCATTGATAGATTCTGCACAATTGGTGGTGTCAATCTTATACCTGTCTCCGGGAAAATAGCATCTTGCCCATTTCTCCTCACCAACAGTCCTATCCAGATATTTGGCTGCATCTGGATACGTTCTCCTAAAAGCACTGTAAAGTGTCAAGAATTCATTCTCGGTATAAGCATGAGCACAAGCTCTGAACTTCTTCGCACAAGTCACTCTGTTGACTCCTGAGACATTTCCTTTCACGTTTTCAGACAAATGATATATACAAACTCCATGCTGAGACAATGGAAAGACCTCACGTATTGACTTAAGGAGACTTTGGTTTCTATCAGAAAGAAACACCAATTCAGGAACATCTGGTACAACTGATCTCAACATGTTCATAAACCACATCCAGCTTGCCTCTTTCTCACCATCAAGTACACCAAAAGCAATTGGATAATGGTGATGGTCAGGATCTTGAGCTGTAGCACCAATTAAAACGCCACCATATGCATTCTTAAGGTGGGTGGCATCCAGAGCAATCACTTTTCTCATGACTTGGAAACCCTCAAAGCAAGCTCCCAAGGCAAATAATAGATACTTAAACCTGTTTCCCTCATCCATTTCCACATAAGTGCGTGTACCAGGGTTCATGTACTCTAGCATATACAAATAAGAGTGCAACAACTGATAACTCTCCTCTGGACTTCCCCGCACATCATTAGAAGCTGCTCTTTTTCTCTCCATGCAGTGGAGTATGATACTTGCGTTTTGAACCAAAACAATCAGTTCTTGTGGTGCTGGAGTTTTGAGTTTGCCTGGATAATCAGAATGACAAATAGACCTGACCAACTCTGGTGTGCCTTTCCTTCGATTTTTTCTTGTAACTGTAGTAGCTCGAGAACATATATGATTCTTGATGTACGTTCTAACTGTGAAAAGATCTGAATTCTTCGTCTTTGCAGCTCGTAAATACCACTTACACCCATCTTTTGCTCCATGATATTTTAACACATATCGGCGTGTATCTGACTGGATGATATCAAACTCGAAACTATTTTTACGGGAGGCTACAAACACTAACTCTTGCAATGACTCCTTTTGCCAAATTCTTGTCCTACAGCTAAATCAATACCATCTTCCCATGTATGATTCACGTACACATCTTCTTCTACAACAGTTGCCACCTCAATATCGTCATACATACCAAAGTCTTCATGCACATTATTTCCAACATCTTCACCATCTTCAGCATCTTCACTAACAACATCTTCTTTTTGCGGCTCTGATGTTTCGCCTTTGTAAAAAGTATCCATACCATCATTAACATCATCACCATCATTATGCTGCCCAGGAGAAAGAGAAACAGAAGGAGAAGGTAAGTGTTATACCGTCTGATCCTCCGATGTGCTTTCGGTTAATGAAAACTTGTGGTACTGTTCGCCTTCCAACAATCGCTCCAATTGCACTTTGGATGCTCCAACCATCTTCTGCAAGACCCAATTTTTGCTATATTTTGATTCTCGAATCTCTCAATCATTAGTCACAAATGAATCTTCTATATACATATATTGATCCCTTGAAAGTTTCGAATGATAGAAATGTCTGAGAATCAAGATGTCAAGAGAAGAAAGAGGTAAGAAACATAGTTGGATGAAATGATTTACTTTGATCTTAAAACGCACCTCTTTCGTCAAGCTCTACAACATGAGGAACCTGATCAAGCTCCATGAACACAGATTTTGCTCTCTTGCAATACCTGTTCACCAACCAAGGATTCATAGTCATATATAGGTACGTGAACAAAATCCAACTTGATCACATCTTAGCTCAACATCAAGTTCAAACAAAGTTGTCTCACATAAAACCCAATCCACCGAATACTAAAGAGCTAAGCAAAAAGCTGGAAGATATCGATTTTTTTATTCAAGATCGAGATTACAAGAGTCTTAGCATCGTTTATATAGAGTTGAACTGAGGAAACAATGAAAACCCTAAAGCGAGAACAATGAAGCAACGAGTGCCACTTGTCATCAGCTGCCATCATCGACGCATGATCCAAGGAGCGTGTAACGGTTCTGCAGATGAACGTTGTGAGCTGTGAAAGCCGTACGAGAACTACAGTTTTGGCATCCTCTGATTTTGTCTTAAAGCAGAGGAGAGTGAAAACAGAGTGATGTGGGCATCTCAGGTTTTGGATTTGGAGTGTGGGCTTTTGTCGAAGGCCCAGTTATCTTTAACCTAACAGATGTGTCACAGTGAAAAGCCTCTAAATCGACAAGAGGATATGCCTTTGCCTTAATACTCCCCCTCAAACTGATGGCCGGCGGTGAGTCGACATCCAGTTTGTACTGGAGATCATCGAAAGACTTCTGAGGAAGTAATTTGGTGAATGCATCTGCAAGGTGAAGAGTCGCTGGAATTTGTTTGACAATCAGAGTCCCTAAAGCGACTCTTTCCCTGACATAATGGAAATCAGTATCAAAGTGCTTGGTTCTGTTGTGCATCGCCGGATTAGCAGGGAGGTAAACTGCCGAAAGATTGTCGTAGTACATCTCAGGAGTTGTGAGCTGTGGGATTCTCATTTCACCAACAGGGAAGCTATCCATTTTAACTCAGTTGCAGCAATAGATAATTACCTGTACTTAGCCTCCGTCGATGAACGTGAGACTGTAGGATGACATTTAGCTGACCAGGAGATGATATTGGACCCGAGAAATGTACAAAAACCACCAGTTGATCGTCGCGTCTCGTGACAACCTGCCCAGTCGCTGTCGCTATACTCGCGCTGAGTAAAATCCGAATGATGAGTTAAATTGATTCCTATATGAATGGTACCTTTCAGATAACAAAGTATCCGTTTGAGATTGGTAAAATCAGCCACTGAAGGTGTGTGCATCTTCTGACAAACGTAATTGACTGCAAACTGTATATCAGGACAAGTCAGAGTGAGATACTGAAGCTTCTCAGCCAGACTTCAAAAGTATGAAGGCTCGGAGAAGAGATCTTGATGTCCTTGCACTTTGCAGAGGTGTTGCCATCGGAGCACAGTCTTTCATTCCAGCAAGACCAATGAAATCTGCTGTGTACTTTTCTTGACAGAGGAACAAACCATTCGAATGAAATGTAGCTTGGATCCCCAGAAAATAATGAAGTGGCCCCATGTCCTTCATTCGAAACTTGGAACCAAGATCAGACAAGAGTTTCGACATAAGCTCCGAGTTGCTTCCCGTAAGCACCATGTCGTCAACACTAAGAAGAAGATACATAGTATCACCACCATGTAAATAAACGAAGAGAAAAAGATCCCCATATGTGCATTTGAAACCAAAGTCAAGCAAAAAAGAACTCATTTTGTCAAACCAGGCTCTGGGAACCTGCTTTAGGCCACATATTGCTTTTAGTTTGAATTGAGCTTAGTTTTAAACACCCATCTGCATCCCAATGGTTGAATAGCATTACTCGGAGGAATCAAATCCCAAGTGTCGATTTCGTGAAGAGTATCATAATCTTCTTTCATTGCAGAAGTCCACCCTGAATCCTTTAGAGCTGATTTTACTGTATTAGGTTCGGGATAAACCGTTTTGATAGAAGACAAAACATACTTGGGATTGGGTTTAATGATAGCCGCTTTTCCTCTGGTGATCATCGAATGAGAAGATGAGATAAGTTGTACAGGATTCTGTAAAGGTGAAGAGTTTGCAGAAACTGCAGGTAAAGATGTTGCAGGCGAGGAGGAAACAGAGAGACTTCTCACGGTCTGAACAGTTGCAGGAGACACTGTAGTTGAAGTAGATTCAGATGAAGCAACATTGTTGTTAACTGAACTATCTGACCTGAATGCTGATAATGGTGAGCTGTTGCCAATAGGATTGGGATCTATGCCCACCGTACACTCAGAACTCATCCTATCAGCACCAGTAGATAGATCAGAAACTGGTGTTACGTTTATTAAAATAGGAGTTTGAAGATCAGGAACTGATGAGTGTAGAACATGAGAAGTCTGAACCGGTGTGATTGGAGAGCATATTCCTTTTTGCCAAGCTGACAGTAAAGAAGTATGAGCTGTAGAGTAGAATGAGCTATATTCTGCGTCAAAAGGAAACCGTTTTTCTTCAAACAGAACATGACGAGAGATGAATACACGCCCTGTGGGAGGATGATAGCATCGATAACCTTTGTATTTGTCGTTGTATCCCAAGTATACACAGAGGATGGACTTAAGATCAAACTTGTTTTTAGCATAAGGTCTCAGAAATGGGAAGCATGCACAGCCAAAGACACGTAAAAATCTGTATTCAGGAGCCTTTCCCGTAAAAATTTCAAAGGGAAATTTGTTATTCAGAGCAGATGATGGCAAGAGATTTCCAAGAATTTTTCAGTGAAGAAACCTCCCACCCACAAGTGATGAGGTATTTTACCCTGATAGATCATAGATACTCCTAATTCAATAATGTATCGATGCCTCCTTTCAACTAAACCATTTTGATGAGGAGTGTGTGGACAAGAGATCAAATGTTTTATACCACATTGAGCAAGATGAGTGATGAATTTTGAGCTTGTGAACTCCCCACCACCATCACTCTGAAACATAGCTATCTTGTGTTGAAGTTGGTTTTCTAGCATTTTTTGAAACTGTAGAAAGACTTGATAGAAATCTGATTTCAGTTTAAGAGGGAAGAACCAACAATATCTGGAAAAATTGTCAATAAAGATGGCATAAAATCTGAAACCCTGAGTTGAAATGACAGGGGAGGGACCCCAAAGATTACAATGAACTCTTTCCACAGGTCTAGAAGAAACAAAGTCTGAAGATAAAAAGGGAAGTCTGCAACTCTTTCCCATTTGACAAGCAGTACACAAATTATTTGAGTTTCCCTTAGTAACTAAGATAGAATTGGATCTTGACAGGAGCTGGAGAATGTCTTCATGTGGATGTCCCAATCTCATGTGCCACACCTCATCATCTGCGGACTGTTGTCTGAAAGAATAATGAGCCATGAACTGAGGATTCTCCAACACGTAAAGATCCTGGTGTCTAGTTCCTCTGGTTAGCAGCTGTTTGCTCTGCTTGTCCTTTACAACAACCCCATCAGAATCAAACTCAAAGGAGCATGGATAATCAGCAGTTAACTTAGATACTGAAAGCAAAGGTTTAGCAATGCCTGGATAAACAAGAGCATCGTTTAAAGGTAGATTACCTTGAATAGAAGGCAGAGCAGCTGAACCGACGTGCGTGATAGGAAAAAAGTCACCATTGCAAGTCATGATGGCATTAGAACCATCATAAGGCTGTGACGACTGAAGCTGAGTGGCGGAGTTGGTGATGTGGGCTGTGGCACCGGTATCTGGATACCATTCTTGGCCAGAGGCTGAAGATGGAGTAGTGATTTTCATGGCTATCATGGCTTTGTTGAAATCATCCCCCTGGTAAGAATGGTGGAAACGCTTGTAGAATTTGAGAACAGTATGACCACAACGGCCACACAGCTAACAGGTTGGTCTGGTAGACTCGGAAGAAGACCCAGTGTTGATCTGCTGATTAAATCCCCTTCCAAGAGTAGAGAACTGCTGACCACGACCATGAGAGGTGCCAAAGTGACCACCAGACTGACCACCACCACAATTGTCATTGGTATATCCCCGGCCAGAGTTGAACGCAAGATGAGGCGTAACAGTAGACTGAGCTGCGTACTTCTGGAGCTTATTATCAAAGTTGATAAGCTTGACCTCAATATCCTCAAAAGTAGGACCAGGATATGTGTCCATAGAGTTCTCAACAACAGCAGTAATAGCCTCATATTCCTGACCCAAACCATGAATAACACTATAGATCTTTTCATTCTCAGCAACAGGACAACCTATAGCATCTAACTGGTCGCAGAGAGGTAACTTCGTTCAGATATTCAGACGTAGTTTTACCTAACTTAGACACCGTTAGAAGTTTCCTTTGAAGATCAAACCTTCTAGAGATAGAGATGCGTTTATACTTTATAGCAAGTGCAAGCCATACTTCATGAGATGTCTGCAAACCATAGACAGCACGAAAAGCTTCCTCCATTACAAGAAAGATCGGTTTTTACGTCGGCAAATATCGACGTAAAATCGACGTAAATGTCTATTTACGTCGAATTAGCGACGAATGAAAAATCGTCGTAAAACAATAGTCGTAAAATAGAATTCGTCGTAAAATCGTCGTAAATTTACCAACCGAATAAAATCGTCGTAAAATCGTCGGAAATTATTCGTCGTAATTTCGACGTAAATTTTCCAATGAAAGTAAAACAAAATATGTCACTCATAACAACGACGTAAA